GTTCCCCAATTAAAAATAAAAATAATAATAATAATAATAATAATAATAATAAAACAGTGTGATTGATACAATTCCATTTGTATACGATTATGCATTTTTATGTGTATATGTGCATTCAAAGATGCATAAAAATATGATCAACAAAATGTAAACAGTACTATTGCATATTTCAGATATCTTGACTTTCATGCCGGTATAACTTGCTTGCATTTTACACAATGAGTATGTGATATTTATATAATCAGATAAAAAATAATTAAGTCCTTTGCTATTCTTGGCATTTTTTTTAAGATCTAGATTTGGACCTTCCTGGTGCTTTTTTTTTTTTTAGTATTGTAATTGTTTTTGTTTGGTTTTGTTTTGGGCGTGTGTGTGTTGGCGTTTTTTACTGAAGCCTCGATGAAGAAGGTGAAATCCCTCCGTGATCCTTCTGCCAAAATGTCAAAATCGGACCCTGACAAACTGGCCACGGTCGGGCTCACAGACAGCCCGGAGCAGATAGTGCAGAAATTCCGCAAGGCGGTGACGGACTTCACCTCCGAGGTTACCTATGACCCGGCCAGCCGTGGGGGCGTCTCCAACATGGTTGCGATCCACGCGGCAGTGACGGGACTCCCTGTGGAGGAGGTGGTGCGCCGCAGCGCTGGCATCGACACTGCCCGCTACAAGCTGCTGGTAGCCGATGCTGTGATTGAGAAATTGGCGCCAATTAGGAGCGAAATTGAAAAACTGAAGATGGACAAAGGCCACTTACAGAAGGTTTTACAAGCAGGGTCAGTCAAAGCCAAGGAATTAGCATATCCCGTGTGCCAGGAGGTGAAGGAGCTGGTGGGGTTTCGATAGGACACGTCGGTTTATCCAAAAGAGGCTTTTTTGTATTTTGTGGTCTGTGTGCACTCCAATAAAGGCAGCTTTCCTCACAGGCAAAAAAAAAAAAAAAAAAAAAAAAACCACGACAGTTTGGGGACATTTGATTGGTGTGCCTGATTATTGGTTTCCTTTAGTGTAGTCTTCAAACAGAGCAGTGCTCTGAATCCCGACGGCAAAATGCTGTGGCCAGAAAAAAAAGAACATATCAAAGACGTCATCCGATGCTGTCGGAATCCTCATTTTTGAGATCCGCTCCTTGGCCTGAATTTACCTACACGATGTGTCTGAGGTGAGCAGTAGCTGGAAGATGGGGTATCATTTGTGACTCTCTCAAGCAGGTACTGTCACAGGCGGATGTTTTATCTACCCCAACCCTTTTCTAGTAATATGCAGAGGTCTTAGACTTATACTCTTCGGGATGCCATTTGGACCAATTTGTGTTTGGATCTCATTTTTAAAAGGTTATTATTACAGCTTTTTTGTCGCTGAGATGGGGCCTGCCTTAATGCATTAAAACTGCTTAACCTGGTTCCCAAGAGACCACATTGACTGTTTCAGCAAGTTTTGTTCCTTTTAATTTAGAGATACATGATAGAACCTCTGAGAAGGTTGCATTATTTCAACTTGATTTATTCATTGTATAAGAGCCCAATTTCCTGGATTATAAATAAGGACTTCCTTGCACTCTTCTGTCAGTCTGATCTCCCCAACTCCCTGTGAAATATATAGGAGAGGAATTGCCATTTTACCCGAGGTGAGTGAGGCTCACAGGTACAGCTAGCTTGGACAGAATCACTCAGCAAGGGAGAAGCAAATCCGCAATCAAAACCTTTCCTCCTTATTCCGAAGAGCGGTGCTTTCATCATCAGCACAAAACGCTGAGAGGCGCGATATTTGAGACTCCAAACAGGCTTATTTTAAAGGTGGGGACTGGAAATATAAGACCTGAACTACCGATACTGTTTATATCAGAACCTCAACCGATAGCTGCCCGCTTTACATCTGGTTTCGGCCCACCTTGGTCACATTTGCTCCTCAAAACCCCCAAGGCAGGTCCCAAGTTCAGTCTCCCGTGCTTATTGCAGAGACCCTTCAAGGACCCTCTGCCAGACTCCTACAGCAGTGAGGCCGACCAATGCGATTTTCCCAGTGCATGGAAGCATCTGATCTCGCCCCACCTGAGTCTCTAAGTCAGAACAAGTCACTCTGAAATCTAGCTTCTCGGTATTTTCATTTCCCACAGCTGAACATGGAAGTGCTAACCCTGATCTACCAGGATCTGTCAGCAAGATTGATTTTGTAACAGAAATTGCTTGTGATTTTTTTTTTTGCCAATGAATATAATGATCAACATTTATACATGAGACTAGTATGTTGGCTGAAGAATTTTTACTCAAGTGTCTTAAGAGAAGGAAGTAGAGTGGTCCTTGTACAAATAGATAAAAATCCACAAAACACCACATCGTGGAATCCAAATTGAAAGTCCTTTTTTGGAACTTTTCTTGGAATGGGGTCTCCATAGTCTTAGGGCCTCTTTAGGCATATTTCTTCCAAGACTCTGCTTTTTTCTTTCAAAGGAAACCTATAATGAATACTGGAAAATGACAAAATTAAAGATGGATCTATCAAACTATTGTCTGTCTGTGTGGGGTTTTTTTTACTCCCCTGCAGCACTTTGCATCCATAGAACTAAAGGCAGCATGGAAAGAATGTCAGAGAAGAAAAACTAGACGACTTGTGACAACTTCCAAGGAACAAAACCCTGCACAGGTGAGGTTGGGCTTGTGAGCATCCTGATGTTACTCTTTGAAAGTGACCCAAGGGCTCATCAAATCCAAAGTCAGCTGATAATGATTGAGAGATGTGCCCATGGATCTCAGGAGGTTGGTTAAAAGAAAAAAAAAGCCAGTGCTACAGTAGAGCCCAGATCTGTCGTGGCACGCCTCCCACTTGCCATTACAGGCCTCTGCACAGTCTTTTTATCTAGATGAAGAATCGGGGAGAAATCTCACTTGTGGCTCATTTTGAAAGGTGATTTAATTGTTATTTTCTGTGTTTTGTGGAGAGTTGAAATGATGACAGCTATTTCAGGTGGTAGTAATAATGATCAGGTAACTCAGTGCTCTGTAGCTCCACAAACTGACAAACCCTACTGCAAACCCACCCTGATGGACTGTCACTTGGAGCTCAGTAAGGGTATCGTGCCCTGTGTAGGTGCCTCACAAACATTGATCAAAATAATGTCAGAAAATGGGCTAGAGATTCCTAATAACATGTGGAGCTTGTTTGTTTTTCATGAACCTGTGAAACACCATGAAGATGCTAATCATAAAACAATAACTGTCACTATTGCGTATCAGACACCATACTAAATGCCTTACCAGTGTTTTTCCAATTGTGATCCCCACCAGCAGCTTGAGTACCACCTGGGAACTCATTACAAATGCAGATTCTCTGGCTCTTCCCCAGACCTACTGAATCAAAACTGGGTGTAAACCCAGCAGCCTCCCACATAATTATGACGCATGCTAAACTTTGGAACCACTGCTTTGTATGTATTCTCTCATTTAATCCTCCTACCCCAATTAGGTGGTGCTATTATCAGTCTCGTATTACTAAGGATGAAAGCGAGGCACAGGAGGCTGAGTAACTTGCCTAAGATAGTTCAGCTTCTATTAGAAGGTATATTTTTTGTGGTGGTGGTTGTTGGGGAACAGCCATGATCATTGGTTACACATTGCTTTCATGCTACAATGACATAGTTGACTCTTTGAAGGAGGGGGCAGCTCACAGTGCCCATGCGGGGATCAAACCGGCAACTTTGGTGTTATCAGCACCACGCTCTAGCCAACTGAGCTAACCAGTCACCCCAATAGTTCAGCTTCTAAAAGGTAGAGTCAGGTCGTCTGTTCCAGAACCTGACTAGGCCACCGTGGCCCCTGCAGAATGCCACCTGGTGTGTTTGGGGTAATGTGTTCTGAGGCTGCACCATCCAACACAGTTTAAGTTTAAATTTAAATATCTTCAGATTAATGTCTTCAGATTAAATAATTCACTTCTTCAGCAGCGATTTCAAGTGCCTGGTGGCTAATGCCAGCATATTGGACGGTGCAGATAGAGACTGTTCCCATCGCCACAGAAATGTCCGTTGGACACCGCTGCTTTAGGTGTTCAGCTGACTGGATTGGTTTGTACGAGGCCAAGCGCATACAGCTGAGGACTCTCCCTGGAGAATTCATGAACCTAGCAAAAGGATTATGGAGAGTGACAGACAATATAGCTTCCCAAACCATACTTAGATAATAAGAGCTAGCGTGTATTATATACCTGCTATATGCTGGGCACTTTGTGTGTTTATATCTCACTTAATATTGATATCACCCTTATAAGATTGGAACTATCGGTGCCACTTTTTCAAATAAGTAAGATTCAGCAACTCGCCTGAAGTCACATCCACCATATTAGTCTCCAGTTTCTCCTAGTTAGAAGCGCAGTGTAGTGTGCTCACGGGAGTGACTGCCCCTCCTTGATAATCTAGATTCTTCTCTCAGCACTTGGGATTCCCTTTTCGTGTCCCGTGATCTCAGCCCGCACATCTTCCTCCCTTCTTCCTCCCCAGGTCTTCTTTCTTCAGGGTCTTCTAATTGCTCCCCAAAAGTTCTGCATCTGTGCACACAGCACAGTCTTTGGCTTGCTTTCTCCTGAAGCCTTTATTTTCCTCCAGGTCACTCTGTCAAGCGCTGTGTGCCTGTGTTACCAGTTAAGGGGGGGGGGTGACTGTGCCCTATGGCAGCTCTGAGTGTCTTTACCTCTAATGTGACAACTCTGTCTTTTCCCCTAGTGTGAGCAACATTCTGTTTTCACTCTGTCAACTGGATGAGCCTTTTGAGATTTCCTTGGCTGAGAAGAGTCCATCCCTGCCTAAAACTGAGCTGAAAGCAGGCTGCCTCTCTCCAGCACGGGCCATTTTCAAACACCCCACACACAATCACACTGGCAGAGAAACCTGGAGGCTTTATGATTAATCATTTTAAACCCTTTTATGTGAACTTCCAACAATCCTCTTATGTTGGCTAGGGATTATCTTCTTTCTCCAGGAAGGAAACTGGGGTTCAGAGTGTCAGTGACTTATCCTCAGATATGTAATTCAGCATTACAACAATGTTTATGCAAGGCCTATTTTATGAAAAGCACAGGGGAAACAGAACATGTCTATGATTTAGAGGAGTTACAAGCTAACAAATGCTGGGTGAACCCGGGAATGAATGATTAACCAAGATGTTTAGGAAAGCAATATGATACAGGGCAGGAGAAATGTACTCCTGATGAGACACTACGACCCGGAAACGTGAAAACATTTAGGGAAAAGCAAATCCACGCAGTCTGTAAGCAAAACGAGGATGGAAATATTAGACAGAGCCGTATGAAACTGTCAAGGTTTGATTATTATTTTTCACCAACAAACCTGGTCGTCCCAGGTGGATCAGCCTAGTGTATCCAGTAGACAAGAATTTTGTAGAGTATCTATTTTGCTGGCACCGTCTAAGCACCAAGAACTAGAAATGAGACAGTCTCTACCCTTAGCCTCCTTGACCACATGGAGATAAACATTGAAAGCCAGTAAGAGGCAGACGAGGAACTTGAGCCAGAGCGTTCCAACTCCTGTACCTCTCCCGGATATATCATCTATGGCATTAGCTCTTAATTATTTGGAATATGGCTTCTAAACATCACGCTCACTTAATGGTTCTCAAACAAATAGAATAGTTATCATTTGGTATAACCACATTTGGCTCTCTGGAATGCAAACTTTTTTTTTTGTTATCCCCTCCTCACTCCTACCCACATACATACACTCTAGGCCAGGCCAACCGTCACCATTTTCTAAAAGTGTTTCTGAAAAGCAGGTGATGTGACTATATGATTCTATTTAGAATAAACGGGTCTGATTTTGCGTAGTTGCTGTCTTACTCATCATTTCCACCTTACTCCTTTTTTCAAAGAAGATGTTAAAACACAGACTCCTCCTGGGAAGAAAGCCAGTCCCGTCTCCCATCTGGGAACACAGGATGAAGAAGTGTGTGTGCCTGGCGTTTACCACCTGATCTCCCTCACTCACCTGTCCCACAGGGAGCGCAATTGTCAGTTCAAATAAATAGATCCAGGGAGTTCCCTGAGTTTGCCGTGGCCTCTCCCGAAAAGAGGAGCTAATTTAAGAAAACAAAGCATTGTGTGGTTTGTCTAGACATGAGCATGGGAACAAGACCTGGGGAGGAAAGTGTTCCCACCATGAACCAGACAACCAGTAAGCAAAAAGGGTGTTATTCCTCAGCAGTGTTCCAGAAGAAAGTCCTCATTCTAGAAGGGGAGACGAGGACTCGGAATTCGAAGTCACAACATTGTTTTATGATGGAATCTTCTCCTGGGGATTAACAAATTAATGCAATGACTGAGGTTGCTGCATCTTCAGTCAATTATTATTCTCTCATTGTTTCTATACCTGCCTTTCCTACTGGTTATTTTCTAGTTATCTTTAGGTCCTGCAAGCTCAGTACAAGGACAGAATTCCCTGGGGATTGGTGGACCCCAACATTCGTGCATAATGGGCATGTGCTCTTGGGCATCTCCTGCCCCCTCCCCATAGCTAAGTGGATACCCATCCAGCTGCTGCCGCTCCTCTTACCTGTTGCCTTGCCTACTTCGGTTCTAGAGAAACAAATAAACCAAACATGCCTTCTCCTGAGGCCTTTACAACTTGGCAGTCTCCTAGCTCAAGATCTTGCCTGACTCCTGTGTAAGTTTCATTTCTCTCGTCCCCAGTCCCCCCCGACGTCTAAAGCTGCTGCAGCCAAGGAAAGCCGCCTCCACAGGCTCGTGGTGTCTGTGGATTCCTCCTTATTTCCTGCCCACTATTCAGCAGTAACTGCCACTGTGTACGTCACTCCCACCCACTCTCAGCCCCCTTGTCCCTTCTGCCCCAGCTACTGTCATGACTTCTGTGCCATTTCTCACACCTTCTACAACTTTGTGTTCATCAAACCACCTGTTCCTCTTTCGAGGAGATCACATTCTGATACCCCTCTGATATCTTGGTGTATTGACAGGTCAAGGTCAATGGAAGAGTTTTTGCCTTTTGATCCATCATAACTCCAAATTAACAACCTCTGTGTTAAATATAAGTGCTTCCCCACCCCATCCCATCCCATCCCATCCCATCCCATCCCACTCCCTACACCCCCCAAAAAAAACAATGTGTAGAAACACACAAAGAACTCTTATTGTATTTATGGTTCAGATTTTCATCACTTTATACATGAATTTGCCATAAAATTGTTGTGACTTAGTGGAACCCCTACTCTTAATTTGAGTAGAGCACACAGTCCCAGGTGAGAACTATATTTCCCAGCCTACCCTGCAACAAGATACGGTCCTGTGAATTTGTTCTAGCCAATGGGATATGAGCAAAAGTGATGTGCACAATTTCCAGGTCATACTTTTTTAAAAAGGAAATTGCTCCTCCCACCTCCAACTTCCTGGAACATCATGTTGGATCCATTGAAGAAGCCCCAAGAGAAAGATGGGGTGAGTCAACCCCTTAGCCTGGGTCCCTGGACTCAGCAAGCCATGCTA